GGGTGGGGGGGTGGGGGGGGTTGCCATTAAACGATTGCAGTCAAGTAGGAACTCTGTATGTACAGGCAGGGGCCTAGTGCAGAAGGTAATTTTTTTAATGTGAAAACCATAGATTTCATACAGCAGAGGTTAATAGTTTACAAAAAGGGCACTGAGGAAAGCACATGGAGCCACACAGTTAGATTAGCATAGCAGAACTGGTACTTCTGTGCTAAGAGAGGAACATCAGCTGAAGGTAAACCAGTTTGTGCGCATTGCCCTACACTCAATTCTGGAAGAGGCAAGTTCTCCTAGTTCACTAAGAACTCTGAGGGGAAAAGTGCTATCATGTTATGAATTGTGATACACTAGCGTTAGTCCTGGTTTCCTACAAGAGACAGGAAGTGCTTTTTTTTAAATTGCAAAGTATACAGCATTTAAACAAGGAAGCATTTAAACAGTTATCAAAATTTAAGACCTGTTTTACACTCTATTCCTAGACACATTCTTCCATCACGTCAGTTATAGAAATAAAAACCTGCCAACTACATTACTTGAGGATAAAAACTAAATATGCACCCTGAACAATCTCCTAAACCTTGTTCTAGTTGAGGTCTTTTATTTGTATCCTTTGGAAACTTGAATTAGAAATACATTTCAGTAATTCAACAACTAACAAGCTCTTTCTTTTCGATTTGAATTTTGCATATCAGTTGTTGGTTTTAAATGGCTAAATCCTAGTGACAGCGTTAATTGTCCTTGAGTTCTTCTCCCGTATTTAACTGTGATGAATTTAGAGGTTTTGTTCCATTTATGTATGTAATATTGAAATTCAGAGGCGTTCTCTGTGCTCTTCTAGCATGCTCTTTTTTGTAATCTTTTAAAGAAATAGCTTCTTTCAGTTGTTACTAAGGGGATATATTGTAATAACTAGGAAATTGCACGCTCTACTGAGGGAGCAACGGTCTTCTGCAGAATAGATAAAAAAGGTCCTACAGTGCTGTACAGGTAAGCACAGTTATCTTAAAACCAGAACCAAACAAAGACTGACTACAGTGGCTGTCTCCTTCTGCAGTGG